CCAAGCGGTGGCGGCGGGTTCGTAGAGCGTTCCGTGCGCATGTGCACGGAACGCTCTTGCACTTTCGGGGGGATTTAAACATCCCCCCGATATTTTTTTTTAGTTTTGCAATTTTTGTGCACCCCTGGGGACTGCCCCAAGAGTGCACAAACCTCCCCCTGCCCCCCAGGTGGCCCCGGAGCGCGGATTTAGCGATCCGCACTCACGGGGCCACTTGACTATTAGATATATAGATATGCAGAAACCTTGTGACTGAAATTTAAAGCATTCAATCAAGTGTCTTTCACAGATAAGAACTAAGAATTTGTTAAAATAAGCTGCTACACCATCTTGCCTGTCAACTGAAAAATATACTGTGTTACCAACAACGTTTACCTCCGCCTTTCCCACTCCTGACTACCGATATAATCTCTGCTTAATACATACAATATTTATTATTGTTCTCTGTTACACAGACTCCAGTGCCGTTTCAAGGGACCTAAAAAGAGGGCTCCTGTATTCTCCTGTAAGTTCCTGGGCTGGGAAAAAGTCAAACCGGTTTCTGCCACAAGGTGGGACATTCAAATTTATTAAACAGAAAATATTATCATGCTACTGGGGGCTAGCTCAGTACCTGAAGGGAGCTAAGAATTTTGGCGGGAAAAATCTGCCTCAGAGTGGGGAAAGTAACAGGGGATCCATCACCTGGGCCTTCCTCTGCAGGCCAGATGACTGGCAGCAGGGGGCAGCGCCTGGTATTGGGGGACCCCGGCCTCCAAAGGAAAACAATCATTGTTGGTTGAATGGAAAACCAAATGGTAAACAAGGTTTAAATAGTCAAGTGTTAAATGGTACAGATCAGCACGAAATCCCAAACTTTACATAAACACTGAGCTGGTGGTGACTAATCAGGAAGGGAACTCTGGGTCTCGGATGTCAATGAAAACTGTGCAGTACTGGTGAAAAAGGTAAATTCCATCCTAGGGATTAGGAAAGGGATTTGAAATAAAGCAGCCTGGTATGATAAGGCTTTTATGTACTTCCATGGTGTGGCTACATTTGGAATGTGGTGTTCAGTTCTGATAAGTCTCATTTGAAAAGAAGAGAGATTGTACATTGAGTAAAACTGCAGAACAGGGAAATCAAAGCCACCGGGAGTTCAGAGTGCTCTTCCTATGAGAAAACACTAAAAATGTTTGGAGCTATTTAATTCAGGAGGGGGGGAAATCCCTAAAGCTAGAAAGAGGGGAGTGGAGATATATAAAGTGTATCTAGTTATGTACAGAGAGAACTTTTCCTTCATTGGGGCCACCCAGTGCATAATTGTACTATGGAATTTGTTCTTTCAAAAACATGCTTAGATGGCTTTAAATGGAGATTAGATGGCTTTAAAATGCATGAAGGTGTGTATCAATGGCTATAACTCCAGGTGGGCAGCTGTGTTAGTCTGAAACAGCGGAACAAATTTTGAGTCTAGTGGTACCTTTAAGACCCACCACAGTTTATTCAAGGTATGAGCTTTCATGGGCACACACATTTCCTCAGATACAAATTGATGGCTGTTAGCCATGATGGGTAAGCAAAATGTCCAAAGGCAGAGGCAAAATATTGTGTGTGTGTAAGGGAGGGGGGGGGCTTATTCTTTCTTGTTTTGCTCCCCGGAAGCCCAGAAGCATCTGTGAGAAATATGATTCTGGACCATACGGACCTTAAACCCACAAAAGTTCTTATGGTTGCTCTCATGCCACTCCAGGTAATGTCTTCTGTCCCCCCCGGCTCAGGGGAAATAATGACTTGAATATCAAGGGTAGTCATTAGTACAACTCCTAACCACACAATCTATAGATCTAATACTCAACATGCCCCCCATATGTGGATATCTGAATCCACAGATAGGGGGTACACTTACCCCAAACACGTTTTCCTGCAAACTTGGGTAATCCCCGAGGTTTGCAGAAAAATCTAAAAAACAGAAAAAGAATACAACTGAGCATGCACAGACAATACAGCTGTCCAGGCCACAATCACCCACACTGCCACCACCTCTAACAGAGCCACCACTGTCCCAGCTCAGGAGCCTGGCCCAAACGCCGCTGCCAAGCCAGCCAGCGCTGCCAGGAAAGCCACTGCCGAGCCCATCACCACTATCAGAGCTGCCGCTGAGGCCACCGACAGTGAAGGAGCCACCGACGGGGCCACTGACCCCCAAAGGGTCCCGTGGGTCGCCACTATGCCACCTACTGCTGCGGAGGCTGCCGCGAATGTCATCACTGGTGCCAATGACCATCAATGAAGGGCCAGGCTTCATCTTGCCCCCTCAGCGCCGGTTGCCTCCACACATTGGCTTTCCACCTTCCAGGGTCCAGAGCCTGCCCTGACTACCACAAAGGGTACAGGGCAAGGCACCTGAGACCCCGAGGCGGGAGCCTGTAATAGGCACGCTAGGTTGGGAGCGGGGACGGAGAGAAGGAGGAAGACAAAGCACTCACCAAGGGACAGAGAGGAGTAGAGCTGCTGCCGGACTCAAAGGTAGGGGAGAGGGGGGGGGGAGAGAATGGGGAGTCGGTTTGGGGAAGGAGAGAGAAAGGGAGAGATGGGGGTATCAGCTTGAGGGGGGAAGGAGGGGGATTGGCATGGGGGGAGAGAAAGACAAAGAAGGAGGGACTGGCTTAGTGGAGGGTTGGAAAGAAAAAGGGGAGATCATCTTGGGGAGAGAGAGAAAGAAAGGGGAAGAAGGCGGGAAGCAAAGGTGAAGGAATGCCCTCTGTCCACTGTTCTAATCATGAGAGTGGAAGATCTACACCAGGGATGGCCAACTGGTGGCCTTAAAGAGGTTCACAGTTACCCTACTTTTTTCATACCAAGGTCAATATTCTCGAATCAGTTCTGCTCATCAGAAAAAGAAGCCGAGAGTTTCTCTATGTCTTTCACACACAAAGCACTCTTTCTCCTGTTGCCCTGAGCGTTTTGGAGAAGCAAAGGGCCCTGGTAAGCACAACCCACTCCTAGGGCTGCCAGCCTCCAGGTGTGTGTTTTGTTCTAGCACGGTGTTCCTTTATGTTTGTCTAGCCCCCAGGTGAAGCCTGGGGATCTCCCGGAAATGCAACTCATCTCCCGATGAAAGAGATTAGTTCCTCTAGGGGGGAAAGGCAGTTTTAGGGGGGGGGGGTTCAATAGCCTTATACAACTCTCAGGTCCTTAAACCTTGCTGCCCCTAGGCTCCACCCCTAAACCTCCAGGAATTTCCCAACCCAGAGTTGGCAACCCTATTTACTTCCCCAGAAACATGGTTGCTCTTCAGCTCCAAACATCAGTGTCTTCACATCACCCATGAATAGCTGCATCTGCTTCAAGCAGATCCACCTCCTTGATTTCATCAAACACACGCCTGTCACAGGCAGGGAATGAATTATGTTAAACACACCTACTCTGGAGTTGTGGGAAGGGCAGCTGAAGTCTATTTCTGGGGCTTCAGGCGACACGTCTGATTCATGCTATGGTGGGTTCCTCACAGGTGGAAAGCAGTGAACAAATGCTGAAGGCAACCTGAACCCAGATCCCACCCTTTCAACCACCTGTCAGTGGACAGCAGAACAATCCCCCCTTCCCAGGTCCCCACCTCTGCTTTTGTTTTGCATCCCCCCCCCCGTATTACCGTTTCGCTGTAGGTATTCCGACAAACGGTGGCACACCCAAAGGCAGCGGTGACAATGGCGATGACAAACTCTAAGACGGTGAGCATGAGAAGAATGGCCACGGTGTAATACATGGTAGCCTGCCGGTGAAACAACACAGACATCACCCACCCGGAATTGCCTTTCCATTTGCTGCACAGTCAAACAACCCAGACACAATTCAAAGAAGTATGGATGGCTGCCCTGGATATCAAGGGAGAGGGACCCCATTCTTCTAAGAGTGGTGGAGTAGCACGGAAGGTCTACCTGGCAGCATTAGAACCTAGCCAACTTTCATGACTTTTGCCCCTCATGGACACTCAACCAATGCAAGGGACACTCCCTCGCTTATGGGAATGATAAGATCAGAGCTGTGTTTTCCATTCAGAGGGGGAGGTTCACCAAGGTGTGGGACCCTCGCATCCTCTCCTCTTTTGCTTAGACGGGACGACCTGGCCCAGCACCCAGCTCTGTATGAGGCACACTCACGGAAGGAACGGTGTGGAATTCATGGCAAGCTTGAATCTTTTCGGTGTCATTGTAGTGGTATCCACAGAAGTTGCCTCTCCTTGGAGGGCTCTGAATACCCATGGAGATGGAGGAGACCACCATCCCAATGCCAGCTGCCACGGCACTCACAATATTCATTCCCAGTGCCCCTTTCACCTACAGGAAACAAACAAAACCGGTATTTCATTAGGAGACCTGGTTCCTTCCTTCCACCCCTGAAGTTCTGCTTTCTTCAGATTCCAGGTGTAAATCCTCCTTCCTCTCCTTTCTCGGTGGCCCTCAGCTTCTGAAGTGCTCAGTGGTAGACTCCTGGTGTCTTCTGCAAGGTTCTTGAGCTACGTGTCTCATCGCAAAGAGAGTGGCAGGATGTTCGTCATACATTCAAGAACAACAATCCAGAATATCAATTCCTCCATTTCCTGGCTAACACAAGCTAGGTTTTTTAAAAAATTATCTCTGTGTACACTAATGAGAGACCTTTCCCCCTAAATGCAGGGTTGCCAACCTCCAGGTGGGGTCTGGAGATTTTCCAGAATTATAACTGCTTTCCAACTAGAGTCCATTAAGCAACTGATCTCCAGATGACAAAGATCAGCTCCCCTGGAGAAAATGGCTGCTTTGGAGACTGGACTCTTATGGCATTACGTTCCACTGAAGTCCCCCCCCTCCCCAAAATTTCAGGTATTTCCTGACACAGAATTTGCAACCCTTCCTAAATGTTTCTTGTCAAGGTATGTAGAATTTCTTCTCAAAGATACTCAAGAATTTGCTTAAAATGTCTCTTTCCTAGATACTGGGAAAAGAACACAATTTCAAAGTAAGAGGCGTGGTTGGCGAAACTAAAGGCCTGTGTACAGTTGAGTAAACTAACCTGTATGCTGCATGGCAAAAAGTTAGCTGTTTGATAACAGAAATATGTTTGAATAATGGAATGTTATTCTGCCTAGGATGGTGAATGGAACTTAATAATATCTACATGATTAGTTTATGGGATGGAAGATGAATTTGTACTCTGCACACATAGCCAAGCCATTCATAAGGATCCTGCACAAAAGGGTCTTTGAAGGACCCTTTGAAGTACAAGGTGTGCATTATCTGTGTTGATCCAGCTTGGTCAGTGTAGTGTAGTGGTTACAGCATCAGGTTAGGATCTGGGAAGCCTGGGTTCAAATCCTTACTATGCTTTGAATCTTGCTGGGTTTATGCCAGGCATAAAAACCTGTGGTTTAAAACTGCAGTGAGAGATGTTGGAAATAAACTGGAAATAAACTGGTGTGATATCGAATCAGCCAGTAGAGGGAGCAAAACACACATAGGACAAACACACCCGGCTCCAAAACAGGAACTTAACAGCCAGTAAATTGAGGAGGAGAAAAAGACCTTGGGTGAAGGTTGCTGGTGTTCAAAGAAGACAGGACACAGGTCTGTAGAAAGCTGACTGCTGACTGACTGAAGTGTTCTCACTTCACAGCTGTATTTATTGAAAATCTCTTCCCCCGTTCCTCCCTCCTTCCTTTCTCCCTGCGTAAGGGAAAGTTACAGGCATACGAGCATAGTATGGAATGTGTTTTTGCAGGCAGCTCTCTGTTATCTTTTCCGTCTTTCTGCCAAGGCCAAGTGACTTCATAGTCAGCAGATGTCTCAGCACACACATACGTTTGGGTTCCCAATTTCCAGCCAGGAGAACAGTGAATCATTCGGGCTTGCCACGCAAATATTTTCACTGCTCCCACACTTGGGCTTATATAGCTAAAGGTAAAGGTTCCCTTGCTCGAAAGCCAGTCGAATAAGACTCTAGGGTTGCGGTGCTCATCTCCGTTTCAAAGCCGAAGAGCCAGCGCTGTCCGAAGACGTTTCCGTGGTCATGTGGCCGGCATGACTAAACACCAAGGCGCACGGAACGCTGTTCCCTTCCCACCGAAGTGGTCCCTATTTATCTACTTGCAATTTCTTGCTTTCGAACTGCTAGGTTGGCAGGAACTGGAACTAGAGACAGGAGCTCACCCCGTCTTGCGGCACCCGGGTCTTGAACTGCTGAACTACTGACCTTCCACAGCCTGTAGCTTATATAAAAATCCCTAAAAGCAGCGAGACAATCACATGAAACCTGGTTTGTTTGAACATATTACCTGCTATAATACGATTAAAAATGCTAGGAACGTTGATAAGTTTAGCACTTGTTTTTACAGTAACTATAGGGTTAATTTTCACATCTTGCTTAATAAAGAAAATTATTTCTTTTTTTCAAGAAAAGATGAAACCTCTGGATTCAGTCTGGTATGCTGGTTTTACTTCAAAGAACAGAACTCACAACTATAGAACCATAAGAGTTGGGAAAGGCTGTACAAGCCATCTAGTCCAACTGCCTGCTCAATGCAGGATCAGCCAAGAGCATCTCCGACAAGTGTTGTCCAGCTGCTGCTTGAACACTGCCAGTGACGGGGAGCTCACCACATCCCTAGGCAGCCGATTCCACTGCTGAACTACTCCTACTGTAGATTTCCCCCCGAATATCTAGTTGGTACCTTTCCACCCATAAATTATTACAAGTCCTGTCCTGCTCCCAACCAGAACAGCTCCCTGCCCTCCTCTAAGTGACAGCCTCTGAAATACTTTCAGAGAGCAATCATGTCTCCCTCCTCCCCAGCTTCTATCAGATTTAAAGGCTGATAGCAAAGGTAAAGGTTCCCTTGCTCGAAAGCCAGTCGAGTCCGACTCTAGGGTTGCGGTGCTCATCTCCGTTTCAAAGCCGAAGAGCCAGCGCTGTCCGAAGACGTTTCCGTGGTCATGTGGCCGGCATGACTAAACACCAAGGCGCACGGAACGCTGTTACCTTCCCACCAAAGTGGTACCTATTTATCTACTTGCAATTTCTTGCTTTCAAACTGCTAGGTTGGCAGGAGCTGGAACTAGAGACGGGAGCTCACTCCATCATGCGGCACCCGGGTCTCGAACTGCTGAACTACTGACCTTCCACAGCCTGCAGTTCAGCGTCTTAACCACTTGAGCCACCGCAGCTCCTTAAAGGCTGATAGACAGCCCTTAATAGATACATACATCCTGGCTTGATCTGCCGCTGGATGTTTTCAACTGGCAAAGTCCTTTGGAAGTGTTTAGTCCAGATTGTCTAACTGGATTTGGGAGTAAAACATCCCATTACAGGGTGGCCTATGACTCTCTTGGCCTGGGCTACCTCACAGAGTTGTGGTGAGGAGAAAATGGGGAAGGAGAAACATGGATGCTGCTCTGAACTCCTCGGAGGATGGGTGGGATCAAAATTCACTAGAGATACGTAGATACTGTTGGAAGTAGAGGAACATACGCTGTCCCCTGCCTCAACCTTCAGACCATAGATTTAGACAGATAGAGAGGTCAGGACACACTGAGCATCCTTTCCTTCCTGCTACCTGATTCTATCCTTTGAAATAGGATGCTATTCTTAGGGACAGGACTTCCTTCCTTCCGGATTGACCGGCTTCTCTCTCACACACACAAAGAAGGAGCACACACTCTCCATCTTTCACCATGGATGCAGGACAGGCATCCTCCATCCACATCCACCTAGCTAGCTAGATTAGATTCTATTCCTGTCTCTCAACCTGCACTATCTAGAATGTAGTTCCTTGAATAAAGGATTCTTCTTAGTTTGAAACTGACAAGTGGCTCCCTGTAACTCTGTAAGTTCACTTGTACACACTACACCAAGAAGCTACTGCTGCGTGTAGCCTAGTGCACTCTGCTACATATAGCAATTCCTGGCTGTACCATACCAGTGAATCTAACAGATATTACCAAGGCCCCATAAACTGATTGGCAGGAATGTCCAAAGACAGTGAATGCCATTCTAGAAGGGTGGCTGATGTCACAAATTGTGGAATGTCTTAAATGGGGGGGGGGGGGAAGCTCTCAGAAATCCAGAATGTTATCTTTGTCTGCCACCTTATTGTGTCTGATTCCGTCACCAGCCCAATTATTCCCAAATATTTCCATTACCAGTGGAATCTTGGGGTTCTTGGCAGCCGCCACAGACAAGGATCCAGAAATGATATACTGTGGAAGACAGAAGAGGTCAGAAGCAAAGTCAGAGTGTCGTGTCTCTCTGCCAACTTTTCTTCTCAACCACAAGACCTCTAGAACAGGAAGTCCATCTGGTCATCTAGTCAAGGCCCCTTCACTGACAAGTGAACCCAGAACCTTTGTTCTACCCACATCAGGGGATCCTTCAGTCACCAAATGATGAGATGCAAGAGATTTTCCCGCAGGTCTCTTGCAGAGTTCCCTCTAAGCTTAGTTAGTGTGAGCCAGCTCACAGTTTCTTAGCCTCCGGCTCACACATTTTTGTCTTAGCTCAGGAAGGAGGGCTCCGGAAGAAACTAATTTATGCAGCAGCCAAATCGCCCGCTCACAACTTTAATGTCAGTAGCTCACAAAGTAGAATTTTTGCTCACAGGACTCTGCAGCTTAGAGGGAACATTGGTCTCTTGGCTCCCAGCTGAGTAATGCAAGTTTCTAGTCCCTTGTGAATGTGAAAATGGTCTTGAATATGGGGAGCAATGTCTCATGAGTGTCTCCTGTATTTCCTCTCCCCACCAGACTTCACAGCTTGAGTTTTGCTTCCTTGAAGAAATGGAAATGGAAACGCTCTCGTGGTCCTGTGACTGAGTTCCCACTTCTGGTTTCTATGCTTGCCCAGTACAAACACAAGAAATACACACAGACTCACCAAAGGCTCCCTAAACCATGGCTTGTCCTGAGTGTCTATGGTGTTTGAATGACTGGGGAAATGGAGGAAGTCATCCCAGCTTCCTGGGTGGGGGAGGGGAGGACCTGCCTTGAACGCAGAAGATCCCCGGCTCAATCCCAGGCATCTCCAATGCAGAGGGAGGTATGTTGATTTTGGCTTAGGATCAGGGTACTTAAAGGACTGTCTTCCTCCAGTCCAGGGCATGGTAGGCAGTGTGGTTCTGTCCTTTAAATACTGACATACCTTGAATTTCAGGGGGCATAAAGGATGTGGTGGCAGCTACAAGCATAGACCGCTTCAAGAGGAGATTGGATAAACACATGGAGGAGAAGTTCATCAGTGGCCACAAGGTATAGATGGAGCACTATGCCTGGGGCAGTGATGCTCTGTATCCTTGGTGCTTGGGGGGCAACAGCGGGAGGGCTTCTGGAGCTCTGGCCCCACCGGTGGACCTCCTGATGGCGCCTGTCAGACTGGATGAACCATTGGCCTGATCCAACATGGCTTCTCTTATGCTCTTATGACTGTCATCTCGCATATATTCCTGCCCAGGAATTAAGATTGCAGGGAGAGGTCCTCCTGACTGCCCCATCAATCAAATAAGCTCATTTGGTAGGCACAAGAGAGAGAGCCTTTTCAGTGGCAGCTCCCACCATTATGGAACAATGGCCCCAGGGAGGTGAGCCTGGGCCCCTCACTTCCAATCATTAGCAGGTGGTTGAAAACATTTTTATTTAGGATGCCATTTGATTAATGCAGTTGGGCTGCTTTAAACTGGGATTTTTAAATTGTGAATTTTAATGGATTTTCTTTGTTTACATCGTAAGCCACCTGAAGTTCCCTAAGGTGGAAAGGTGATTAATAAGTCTGTTAGTAATTAAGTAAGTACCAGCTGCAGATGGATAAAGCGGCATACATGCTAAGATTTCAGAATATCCCTGAAAAGAAGGATGAAGATCTTGCAGAGAAAATGGCTAATATACTAGCTGAACATATGAACATAGAAAAGGATGATATGTTAAAAGAATTTGACCAAGTATATAGAATGAACTCGGCATATGCAAGACGAATGAAGGTACCAAGAGAGATACAAGTTCGTTTCCATAAAAGAATGGCAAGGGACAAAATATTGAGAGAAGTTAACGCGAAAGCACTCAAATTTCAAGAGATGGAAGTAAAAGTGTTAAAGGAGATCCCGTGGAGAGTGAGAGAGAAGAGAAGGAATTATTCCAAACTGACATGGTTATTAAAGAAAAATGGGATACAATACAGATGGCTCCTTCCAGAAGACCTGGCTTTTTCCATGCAAGAGAAAAAGTATTGGATTACATCAATATTTAAAGCAGAAGACTTCCTCAAGAAATATGGAGGAGGAGGAGGAGGAGGAGGAGAAGAAGGAGAAGAAGGAGAAGAAGAAGAAGAAGGAGAAGAAGAAGGAGAAGAAGGAGGAGAAGGAGGAGGAGGAGGAGGAGGAG